TCACAGGCACGGGAACAACAGTCCCTCATATTTGGGCTTTTCCTCTCCATGTACTTGATCACTGTGTTGGGAAACCTGCTCATCATCCTGGCCGTCAGCTCAGACTCCCACCTCCACACCCCCATGTACTTCTTCCTCTCCAACCTGTCCTTGGTAGACATCTGTGTCACCTCCACCACCGTCCCAAAGATGCTGTGGAACATCCAGACAAAGAGCAAAGTCATCACCTATGAAGGCTGCATCACCCAGATGTATTTTTTCTCACTCTGTGCAATGTTGGATGACTTGCTCTTCACTGTGATGGCTTATGATCGCTTTGTGGCCATCTGCCACCCCCTGCTCTACACAGTCATCATGAACCCCTGGCTCTGTGGACTGCTGGTTCTGGTGTCCTGGATCACAAGTGCCCTGCAATCCTTGTTAGAAAGTTTACTGTTGTTGCGACTAACCTTCTGTACTGACTTGGAAATCCCCCACTTTTTCTGTGAACTCAACTGATGGCCCAACTTGCCTGTTCTGACAACTTTCTTAATAACATGGTGATGTATTTTACCTTCTAAATATGACATAATTATTTGTGTTGTGTGTTGCAAGTATTTACCAGCATACCTTCAGATATTCCCCATCATGACATCTAATCAACATCTATTCCTTACTCTGATTATAATTTGGGGTTGGTCACTAAACTTCTTCAAGCCCCACTTCTGCAATGGAGCATTAAGGTTATAATTTTATCACTTCAGAGAAAGAGCCTTTATAAAATTTATATCAAACAATGTATAAAAGGTACTAAACTCAGATTGGATAGCATTAAATTATATAATTATGTCTCATAATTAACAAAAGTCTTATACTGTGGGACTAAATAGCAGCTCTTATCTGCTGATATAAGTATGAAATTTCTCATTGATTTGGAAAATGTGTCATGAAGCCAAGGAGGGCGGTGCCCAAGCTTTACATCAAAGTCACAGAGTCCTCTCCCTTATTGAAGAGAGAAATAGCAGTTTTCTGTAGGTATCATGGCTTGTGCCTCATGACAGGTCAGTACTTTGAAAATCTAAGGTTCCTAGTCAAGCCAGTTTCCTCAGTCTTGGACTTTTGAGAAAATTTAATTCAAAGTTGGGAAAGGTGCTGGGAGATGAGACGTCAAGAGGATCATGGAGAAGGACTAACAAAAACAGGATTCACTTAACTTCTAACCTGGTCCCTTGGGAACAAAGAATTAGCAGGACAGCAGACTCCCAACATGTGCAACGTTAGGCTGGAACAGAACGTATTTGTTTCTTTTGGAGTCTTAAGTCTGACTCTGAGACTAATGCTTGACCCCTTCCTGCTCTTTTGTCTGAGAACAGAGCTTCAGTCTCCCACATTAACCATCCAGGGAGCAATTCAGACTTCTACAAGGAGCCCTTCCTTTCAGAGACCCCCAACCAGGTGAGTCTGAGAGTGCAGCAGATGCTGTGGGAAGATTCAAGGAGTGCAGCCCAGAATTTCCCCCTGAGGTAACCTGAGAGCCTAACCAGGCCAGCTCAGAGCTGAGAGACTACCATATCTGTGTGCTAGGTGGGCGAATACATAGTTAACACATTTAGTATGCTAAATTATTTTTCTCCTAAAAACATTGCTGTTTGGCATAGAAGTCCTTTATATATGTATAGATGGAGTTAGGGGAATGGATGAAAATATATTAATTTTGTGTGGTCAATTCTATCAGTCTGTCATATTGTGTCTTCACCTATTACTTTTAAACATAAACAGTTCTACATTTTTCACCTTGGCAAAAACATTCTTTTGCATTCAATTAATGATCCATTCTATTCATTTTCTAAGCATAACCTATTGATGTTTATATAGGTAGAAATTATAACTGTAGATACTGCTTTCTTCACTGCCTTTTAAAAGGATATTTTTGTATTTTTTTTCCACATCCTTTCCCATATATCTGGGATTGGAGACCCATACTGATGTAATTAAAGTTTTGTGGGGTTTATGTTTGTTTGTTTGTTTTTCTTTTGAAATTATTTTATAATTTTATTCAATGTTATTAATGCCATTATTTGAATACACAATATTTAACTATGTTTATTTTCCTTGCCATTTTTATATTATGAATATTCCATACCTTAACTTTTTTTCTATATACAAGCACACATTTATAAAACTACATAAATGAACAAAATCAGTGAGCTCCGTGCTCATTTGACCTCACATTATACAAAGAAGGCCCTGTGCAATGAAATAAGTGTGCTATGATATCACATTTTCCGGGATAAATATGTGAAGAAAAGGGATCAATTGTTGTGGCATAAGCAGGATTTTATACAAATTGTTTGGGGATGATTTGTAGGTTGACAAGGGACAGAACCAGGACTAGTGCCCACCCATCAGTTGTGTCACACAAGAAATCAAAATTCAAAACCAAAAATAGCAAAAGAAAGATGCTATTGAGCCATATAAACCCCAGAGAGATCTAAACATGGAATAGGTGCAGGAATCACAATTAGATCAGAGGCTTGGGAGGATGCTCTGATGAGGCCAGTGGAGCAGTGAAGGTCCAGTCTATGTGTGGTCCGTTGAGTCAGAGGTAACTTAAGCACCCACGCTGGCTCCCTGTTCTCTCTATATTTGGCCCTCTGTTGGGCTCTTCACTCTTACTACTTTTCCTTCATTAACAGGAAATGGCCTTTTAAGCAGGTCTTACATTTCTTGAGTTGAATTCCAGATCTGTTTTACTGTGTCTCAAAATAAAACATGCCTTTTACATTGTGATCCAGCATTTTTGCATGCACACACACACATGAGAGAACAAAGGGAACCATGAAATGATTATGTATGAACCCCCACTGTGTATGACACACTCTAATACTTTCTGTTGTGCCTCCTTGATTTCATTCTATTTCATTTCTACAACTGCAATCTGATACCCTAAAGGCTCCTGATCTCAGAACATTGAGAGCACTCTTCAAGCATGTCCTCCACACCTAAATTCATAGAATCCTGTCATAGAATACATGTTTATCAGCCACACTAAACTAAATCTGGAGGGAGAGTAGGTGTTTGTATAACATGCTATATGCCTCAGGTACTCACAGTCTAGCAAGGAACAAAGACATGGGATTAAACAAAAATCTCACCATGGATGCCCTAACACTTAGATTAAGAGAATGAGAAAGTGGCCTTTTCCTGTGCTAATGTTAAAAAAAGAAACGGTTCAAGAAGGAGAAGCTCCAGTTTCTCTGAAAGAGGAGTTGGGCTTTGAAGGATGGAGAGGGGGGTGAAAATTTTCAAAAACACCAGTGGGGAGACCCCAAGCAGAGGAAAGCAAGCCCATCATAAAGGCTCTGAGCCCTGCAGCTGTGGTGTCAGGTGAAGCTGGACTCAAGTTCAATGTGTAGGAGACCTGTGTGAGGGAGGCCAGGGCTCTGTGAGAGTGGAACTGGCCAAAAGTTCACAGACACTTGAGCCTCGTGTTTGAAGCTATGGAATTTTGGCCACTATCTCCAGTGAGGTATCACTAAGGGAGGAATTTAAATCAGAGAGTTTAATGATGAGCTTTAAAGTTCTCTCTGGGTCAAAGTGAATATTTGGCTAAAGGGGTGTCTGCCTATTAGATGGGAGAGGTGACAGGGAACTGAAATACGTCTGTGGAATTGGAGACCAAGATGTTGGGAAGCAATAAGGACATTTGAGAGGTAGAAGAAAATAATCATCCTCATCCCATCATAGTGGTAACCATTCATTTACCAACAAGAGGAGGTACATAAGCTCTCTACATATAGTATATTGATTATCTGTCCACCGTCATAGGCTGATGGATACTGCAATCTTCACCATCAGGTGAGGATATTAATAATCATTAAGCTGTAGCTGTAACCAGTTTGGCTCTGTGGATAGAACATGGACCCAGGACTGAAGGGTCAAGAACACTTTCTGGGGTGCAGGCTCAATCCCCAGTAAGGAGTGCGTGGAAGGCAGCTGATCAATGATCTTCTCTCACCTGTGATGTTATTATCTCTATCTCCTTCTCCCTTCCTCTCTGAAATCAATAAAAATACATATTTTAGAAAAAAACAAAGAGAGAATCTTAAAAGCAGGAAGAGAAAAGCAGTTAGTTACATACAAGGGAGCACACATACAACTCTCAGCTGATTTCTCAACATAAACCATGATGGTCAAAAGGGAGTGGTAAGAAATATTCAGTGATGAATATCAAGGACCTACGACCAAGTATACTCTCTACCCAGCCAAGCCACCATTGAGAATTGAAGGTCAAATAAAGAGCTTCACATACAACATAAAGCTAAAGGAGTTCATCACCACCAACACAGTATTATAGGAAATATTGAAGGGTATTCTAAAGAAGAAGAGGAGGAGGAGGAAGGAAGGAAAAGAAGAATGTGGAGGGGGGGGAGGAAGAAGGAGAAAAGAGGGGGAGGAAAAAAAGGAGAAGAAAAAGATAGAAAATATGAAGAATAGAATGGCAATAAAAACATATCTAGCAGTAATTGAAACTAAAAAACAAGGTAAATGAACAAGGAATTTAATGAAAACAAACTGATGAATAAAAAAGAACCAGAGGCATGGAACAGACTGATGAATCTCAGAGGGAAGGGGGAGAATAGGGAAGAGATTAACCAAAGAACTTATATGCATATATGCATTACCTATGGACACACAACAAGATGGTGAAGGCCTGCAGTGGGATGGGAACTGGGTAAAAGGGGTAATGGAGTTGAATCTGTAATACTCTCAATAATAAAGATTTTTAAACAACAAATCAAAAAAAAACCTTGGGGAAAAGGTCTGAGGAGGACAGAAATTCTTAATCAGAGATGTCATGGGTTGGGGTGTGTGTCTTAAAGGGGATGATATGTTCAAAAAAAAGATACCGATTACTTTCCTGCAAAATATAATTGTAGCATTTAAATTGTGTTAGTAATGCCCAATTGTTTAAAAATTGATGATGCTATTTTTTCTTTCCTACAAGTCACCTACACCACATGGGACGAGGCAATGATACCCCAATTATAGAATTTCTTCTTTTGGGATTTTCAGAGGAACCAGCACTGCAACACCTCATATTTGGGCTTTTCCTCTCCATGTACCTGATGACTGTGTTGGGAAACCTGCTCATCATTGTTGCTGTCAGTTCAGACTCCAACCTCCACACACCCATGTACTTCTTCCTCTCCAACCTGTCCTTGGTAGACATCTGTTTCACCTCCACCACGGTCCCAAAGATGCTGGTGAACATCCTGACACAGAGCAAAGTCATAACCTATGCAGGCTGCATCACACAGATGTATTTTTTCTTACTCTTTGCAGGACTGGATGACTTCCTGCTAGCCGTGATGGCCTATGACAGGTATGTGGCCATCTGCCAACCCCTTTACTACACAGTCATCATGAACCCCAGACTCTGTGGACTGCTGCTTCTGGTGTCCTGGATCATGAATGCCCTGAATTCCCTCTTACAAAGTGTAATGGTATTGCAGCTGTCCTTCTGTACAGACTTCGAAATCACCCATTATTTTTGTGATATCAAACTGGTTGTCCAACTTGCCTGTAGCAAAACCTTTCTTAATAACATGGTGATGAATTTTGGAGTTGTGCTACTGGGTGCTGGTCCCCTCACTGGTATCCTTTACTCTTACTCTAAGATAATAACCTCCATTTGTCGAATCCCATCAGTGCAGGGGAAGTATAAGGCATTTTCTACCTGTGTGTCTCACCTCTCAGTTGTCTCCTTATTTTATGGTACAGTCCTAGGAGTGTATCTCAGCTCTGCTGCTACCCACAGCTCATACTCAAGTGCAGCAGCCTCAGTGATGTACGCTGTGGTCACACCCATGCTGAACCCCTTCATCTACAGTCTCAGGAACAAAGACATAAAGAGGGCTCTGAAAAGAATCTACGGGATGGCAGGTACAAAAGGGACAATCATTCTGAGGTAGAAAAAGTCCTCCAAGACTCAAAACCAGAAATTGAGATTCTTTCATCAGATGGTAGTTTTCAGACTTGTTCCTTGTATGTTGTCCTTGAATTTTCTTTGTTTGTTTCAACTCTTCTATACAATTTAAGTAACCATTTTATTAAGCTTTCTGCTTTGCCTGTTATATAGACAGTTGTTCCCTTTGTCGATTTAATACCTTCACAAAGTTTTTTCCAACATTGTTCAGAAATATTTGGAAGTTGTCATTTAATTCATGGGTAACATTGATGTCTTTATAATAATGTCTTCTCAAATGATTTACATCATTGTACATAATTTGCTCTGTGTTCACCATGTGTCCCTCATTCTTTGTTCATCAGTACCTTAACTGATCTTCCTGATACTGTAGACTTTATGATTTTTCCGTATAAGTCTCAGTCTATTGATAGTGATGGAATAGGATAGGAATGCCTGGGCACTGGCCTGGGTCCTACAACTTGTTCCTCAGACCAGAGTCAATGTTGTGACTACATGGATCCTTATGGTCCTTATGATTTCAACAGTCATCATGGAAATATGAACATGTAAGTCTTATTATTCACAGGTCCAGCATGCCCAAATGCCACAGCAGAGAGTTGGAACTAGGGCAGGAGAAGGAAAAGCATGGTCACCCAAATGGTCAGTTTTCTAGGTTAGTCAGGTTTTTCTTCAAGAGGAATTTTATAATATGTTAATCTTGTGTAAAAAATCACAAAAATTCTGTGTTTAATTCAAAATAAACTTTGTTTCAAGATATATCCATTGTTTAATGTGAATTTCCTTCCTTTGCTTGTATTGATATTGCTTCTAATTAAAAATAAAATTGCATATATTTCAAGTTCCAAATCAAATTAAAAATAAAAGGGGAAGCCCTAACCGGATTGGCTCAGTGGATAGAGAGCATCAGCCTGTGGACTGAAGGGTCTCAGGTTCGATTCCGGTCAAGGGCATGTACCTTGCTTGCGGGCACATCCCTAGTGGGGAGTGTGCAGGAGGCAGCTGATCAATGTTTCTCTCTTATCGATGTTTCTAACTCTCTGTCCCTCTCCCTTCCTCTCTGTAAAATATCAATAAAATATATTTAAAAAAAATAAAAGGGAAACTTCGTGGGTGACAGCAACATGAGTGCTTATGTAGTAGCAGTGTCATATATTTGTCAAAATGATTATCTGAAATGGATGTCTTTGAAAAAAAGCTTAGTCAGGTACTTGTGCTACAAACATTCTACTGTATTTCAAACATAATTTTCAGGTTTTATTGTCTTATTTAGCTGCGGGTCCAATTGTGGCAATTATAATAAGGACCATAAGGGTCTATCTAGTCACATAGGGATTGGTCTCAGAAAAAAGTAGTAAGACCCAAACCAGTGCCCAGGCATTCCTACCCTATTGCATCATTATCAATAGACTGAGACTTATAGGGAACAATCATAACTACCATAGTTACTGGCAAAACTTGATTACCAAATATCTATCTCCCAGTGGAATCTACTTGGATGCATACATGAGAGGTTCAGAGACAGAAAGAGACGGTGAGGTGCCGTTTATATGACATTCTGAGCCAAAGATGAGGGAAAGCACCTGGAGCTACAGAAGGGAGGAAGGACATTGTATGACAATAAGAAGAAAACATGCTCAGTAATTAGAAATTTGCCCTGCCCTCCATATAGGTCACAAAATGTAATCTCTGATGATAACTCTTATTATTGGCAAGACTCAAAATTTAAATTCTTTAAGGGAGAGGTAAAAGTTCCTATCTGGCAACTAAAGGGGAGCTCAGACGGGTGTACAAAATAGAAGGTTTTTATAGGAAAGAGGGAGGGACAAAGGAGCTATAAAAACAGGGGGGGGAAAAGATTATTTGGGGGCCATGACATCTTTTATTTGGGGGAAGAGGAGAGGAAGGATTTCTATCATACAGATTCCCTCTTCTTTCTGTGGGCATGGGGAGGGCCCACGTGACAGATTACCCTACCGATGCTTGACCACAAAATTCAAGTCTCATTGATTAAAATTAAGCTTCTAGGAGAGGTTGAAACTTCCATTAAATCCAGTATGAAATCTAGATTTAGCATCATGGGTTTTTAGCTGGAGTGATCCCATTTTGGGCCTGTGGTTTTCTCTTTAACAATAGTATTGACATTAACAATATTAAACGCAGAATATCCATAAACACAGAATATCTTCCCATTTATTTTTGCCTTTTCCAATATTTTTTAGCAATGATTTTACTTTATTTCTAGGTATTTAATTCTTTTTTATGCAATTAGAAATGGAATTGTTCTCTTAATTTCTCTTTCAACTGTTTATTTAGATGCAAATGATTATTATATATTTATTTTGTATCATTATTGAACCTGTTTATTGTTTCAAAGAAATTTTTTAATAATTTATTGGAGTATAATAACATAAAATAAACTGAACGTAGTTATCAGAAATATTTCTGAATTAAAGGAGTTATGCTAAAATTAAGAAAACATACTGCCAAAGTTCATATACATAACTCAAAAAAAACACAAAAGCTTTAATATTTTTGTTATGTAATTGTAAAAAATGTAATTAGCCTGATCCTCTGTTTCATTATTTCTGCTGTGATGTGGAATAATAAAGCTAATTCCAGCAGGTGTTGGTAGAAATAAATAAAATGTTTTTTAAACATGGAGTATATCTAATAACTCTTCCATAGGTAAGAAGTGTATGTACTAGTACATGTATGTAAATTTGTACATGATTTTCTTTCAAATAAACACAACGCACAAAGATATAACACAGACACACTAATATTCTCACGTTTAATGTTGAAAGAAAATTTTAAAGAAATTTGGTGACAACAGCAATTAAAGAATGAATGATTCAATTAATATGAAACTACGATAATTTAGAAATTTAGATACAATGATGTAATGTAGAAGGATGACCTAAATTTTAGTAACAAATTACATTTCCTATATTAATGCACAAAGAACTCAAAGTCAGAACCACATTACTTCTGTAACTGAAGAGTTTGTCCACCAGGTGCCAGGTGAGTCACACACAGTGAACATGAGGTTTGTAGTGGAGAGGTTAGACACTTTATTACTAGCACTGGGCAAGGAGAATGGGAAAGGTAGTGCTCAAAACTTGAACTCCTGGTTCCACTTGCAGTTGGTTTTAATGGGTGAAATTGGGGCAATGGGTCTTCAATGGGTGCTCAGCTCATGGGTATATTCTGATTGGTTGGAGCAGGTGTTACAGTGAGCTCTTTTAGGAGTTGTGATCATCAGTCATCCAATGTCAGCTAGCCTGGGGTTTATGTGACTGTGGTCCATGAGAGTCAGTGGTTTTCTATCTGATTGAACATTTTAGTTCTTTTTTTTTAATATATTTTATTGATTTTTTACAGAGAGGAAGGGAGAGAGATAGAGAGTTAGAAACATCGATCAGCTGCCTCCTGCACATCCCCCACTGGGGAACTGCCCACAACCAAGGTACATGCCCCCGACCGGAATCAAACCCGGGACCTCTCAGTCCGCAGGCCGACGCTCTATCCACCGAGCCAAATCGGTTTCGGCAAACATTTTAGTTCTTATAAAACCAACTGAAGGTATATGTCACTATATTATCACGGATTCCAGATGGGGGACTAGTGCCACAAGACCCTGATTAATGTCTGAAAAAGTTACTTTGGTGAATATAAGGAAAAGGTACTCAGGTCTGTTTTCTTGCAAGTGAGACATTGGCGGGTAGAGGGTTTGGTTGAGAAGGGATTCTGCCTTGGTATCAATTTTATGAAATCGGGAATTCCTATATCTGTTAATGGAGCAGAATCACCAAATTGACTTTAGATTTTTTTTTCTACAACTTAATGTAAAATTTCAACACAAATTTCTTTATCAAAGAAAGCTAATAAAATAGATTAACAATGATGGGGGATTAATTGCATCAATGACCCCTATCAATGGACTCCTTGTATTCTCTCACTTTCCAATATGACTTTCACCCCATCACAGATTGAGTCTGTTTGCCCACCACTTGAATCTTATGGGTTTCGTTGACCAGAATAATGTGGTAGAAGGGATGTTGTGCTAATTCTGAGCCTTGCACACATCTGTCTCTTGGAATACAGCCATGGCTGTGTAAACAAGCCCAGACCATCCGGAATAAGCCTCCAGCCCCAGTGTTCCAGCTGAAGACATTAGACAAGCCTACCACCAGTCAACCCAAAACTTGTGTGAGAGACTCATTCTAGGTCAGCAGAGCCACTGCTCTGACCAGAAGCAGAAGAGAGACCAGATCTACCCAGTGACCCCTACTTATACACTTTAAGTTATGGAGTACTCAGGCAATTTGATACATGAGAACACTAACTGACACAATAATTTTATTAAGTAAAATTGAGAAAATTGAGGAACTAGAAGGTTAAGCAAATTGCCCAAGGTCACACAGCTAGTAAGTGCTGAAACTAGGGCACAAACCCAGGCTTCTTAGCTGCAAAGCCTGCTCTCCTAATCGGTATTCTATCTTCCTCTGCTAAAGCAGCGTATGAACAAGTGTTCTTGAGAGCTTGTTTGGAGGCTCTAGCAGGGGAGCACAGCTACTCCTATACCCGTGACCGAAGACTAGTCCTCTCCTCGGGGAGGAAGGTCGTCCTCTTCGACCAAGCACGTAGCTTCGGGAGGGACGCACATGGATCAGTGAGGGAGGAGGGGGACACCCACCTAGTCAGCCAGATCAGTCAAATCAACCCTGGCGATCAATGGGGTGACAGATGTCGCAGCCAGATTGCCCTCACATCCAACAAGTGTTCTTATTTCTAAGATATCGTTCATCCAATTATGCAACCACATTCAGAGGCAAATTCCAACCTGGGGCAACTGATTGGCTCCTACTATGGCCACCTTGACCAGCTATGAGACCAGCAAGATCTCAACCTGGCTGGATGTGAGGCACTTTATATGTACAAGTCAGCAGGATTTAGAAATAGAATTCCACTGTCTTACACCTG